GGATGGACACAACAGCAGCAGCTGGAGGAGCAGTAATAGGAGACGGGCAGGACGTCACCGGGACTGACGTTCCAGCAACAGCTGCAGGGCGATTCCAGAGAGCCGTGATGTGCGAAGGGTTCCGCCAATCACCGCGGGCTTGGCCGTGACGGCGTCCTTTCCTCCTTTCAGGCCCCCGGAGCGAGGAGCCAATGGGAAAGCTGCTGGGGGGAGAGAGAGCGAGAGAGAGCGAGAGCGCTTCCGCGTGCCAGTTTCAAGTGAATGAGCTCCCTCCGCGCAGCGGGGGGGGGGAACTGGGGAGTAAACACGCCCACGCGCTGCTGAAGACCTGCCTATTCACGGGCGCGGGAAGATCCTGCCACCCGGGGGCGGAGGGAAGAGAAGTCCCTGTCCTTCTTCCTCTTCCATGAACTCTTATGGCAATAGCAAAGCTGCCGCCTTCGGGTACCCTCGAGGTCTCTTCTTCCTTGTCAGGACTGAAGGAAGCGTATGCTGCAGGAAGAGCGGGGTGCTGTGAAGCCCGTTACTCAATGAATCATTTTATCTTTTATTGTATTTTAATTGAATTTTAATTGTTGTAAGCCTAATAAATAAATAAATAAATACATACATACATACATACATACATACATACATACATACATACATACATACATACATACATACATACATACATACATACATACATACATACATGATGCTGGCTCCCCTGGACTTGATCACGCTCTGTAGCCCTCTGCTGGAACGGTGGGGGTTCCTTCTTTAAAAAATGTCGTCCAACTACTGTACAAGACGTTTTTGGTCGGTTCAGGGTTGGGGCCCACTGTTTATTTGGAATGGTTAGGAAGGATCCCTCCAAAAAAACCAGAGTTTTCCTGCTGCGCAATGGCCTGTGAACTCCAGTGTCAATTTGCCAATACTATAGTGAAGTGGCTTAAGTGAACCACTTCCAGTTATTGGAAAATTAATCACTTCCTCTGCTCAGCAGAGGGCAGGGGAAGTGAATAAAGTATATATTTTTTCCTGTTTAAGATTATTGCTGATGTGCTATGTCTGATTTTTTTAAAATTTTCTTTGCCTAGCTGGGTTTCTCAACCAAATATGAACTCTATTTTTAAATTTTTAATATCTGATTTAGCATATTGGCAATCGTTTTAAACAGAAAAAAGTAAATTTTATTCCCTTCCCCTGCCCTCTGCTGAGCAAGGGAAGTCATTAGTTCGCCAATGTGAATATTGGGAAAGGGAATAATTTGCCAGTCCAGAAATAGCTCACTTATTAAGCCACGCCATGATATTGGCTTTGGAATGGGCACAATGAGAACGATCTACTCAAGCCTGACCATTCACACAGAAATGGCAGGAGCTGCAAGGCTTAGTCATTAGATCCAGTGTGGATTTACAATGGGCTGTAACCTGTTCCAGCAAGATGTGGTGCAAACTCTTGCTTTTGCTGCTGCGTGTCCTGAAGTTGCTTCAAAAATTAGCAAATTTACATTTCTTGCTGAGGTTCAAAGCCTGCCTGGACGTCACACCTCCACCCTAGAGGTGTGAAGAAGTGCCCATGTATGGTGGAGAAAAACGTATCTTGCCTGTTAGAATGGGCATGCAGAAATTATGATTACTATTACTCATGATGGCAAATGAATTAGTATTGTGCATAATCCAGGACGACGCGGTAGCATTTTTACCAGTTTAACACAATTCAAAGCTTGGTTGGTTCATATTGGACCTTATCAACGAAGAGGAAAGGGGGAGGGCGCCACTCCCTCAAGGGTTCAAGGAAGGGGGGGAGACTATGTATCTTTCATGAAATGTTTAAATCTTTAGAAAGTCTCTGCCTCACTTTTTGGTCGGGGCGGAGGGTGAGGTGCAAACTCTTCTCAACTTTTCCCCCCCAAATCCCTCGGAAGGAGCTTCTGGGCTCGTCCTTTGGAAGGGACCTGGACCGAATCGGCCCCCACCGTAGTTTTACGTCCGAAAAAGCCCCCCCCCCCCGCGAAGGCAGCCTTCTCCCTGAGGTAAACTTTTGCTGCCACTTTCTAAGTGCCTTTCCCAATGTTCCCGCCTCCCTTGGTCCTAACAAACGGAACCCGTCCACCCTCTTTCATGACGGGGCGGCGAGTGGGGGGGGGAAGGCTCGGTGCTACCAAGAGCCACCACCCCCCCCAGAGACGGCGTGCCGAAAGCTGTCCCGGCAGAAAGCAGCGAAGCCCGACCCGCCTCTGCTCCCGCGGGGGAGGCGACGGGGGGGCGCGATAAGGTTTGTGATTGTTGTGTGGTAACGACGCCCCCTGCCGGCGAAGAAGGAAGGTACATCCCTCCCACCCCGGCCTCAGGAGGCAGAGGGTCCTCCGGCTTGCGTCGGGGGTGGGTCGTCTTGCTGTTTGTTTTGAACCGCTCCTCGGAAAGACCTTCGGCAAGACCGTCGCCTCCTTGCAGAGAGTGGAGTGAGGCGCTCCCTCTGCGGAGCTGGTTTGTGAACGGCTTTGAACGCTGAGCCGGAACGGGGAAGTAAGCCGAATGGGCCGCATTATTGCTGCCTAAGTGGTCTGGGATTGACCACGTCCTTGCCCAAGGACGGAACAGCTGTGCAGAACTGAGTTAGTCGCCTGTATTCAAACATCCAGGCCAGTTTATGGGTCTGATTTTTTAAAAAAAACTTTCCCAAGAGATATGAAGTCCTGTTACGCCAATAAATATAGAAAATAAAACATGGCCCATTTTTTTAGTAGTACAGTACTTGTGTTTTCCATTTTTGGGTTTTCCATTTCTCAGAGTGACTTCTCTTTGTTTTTAATATTTATATACTTCTCGTTCTTAGCTTTAACATTGCCTTTTAATGATGTAAGATGCCTCTTTACCGTATACTCCTCACTGTTCTTAGCTTCAAATATTGTGTTTTAATGGTGTTAACCACTGTCATACACTCATTGTTTTCAGCTTTAAATATTGTCATTCAGTGTTGTAAGCTGCCTTGGGTCCTTTTCAAGGAGAAAGGGATGAAAAAATATGTGAAAGAAAGAAAGAAAGAAAGAAAGAAAGAAAGAAAGAAAGAAAGAAAGAAAGAAAGAAAGAAAGAAAGAAAGAAAGAAAGAAAGAAATTGAGAGCATTAAATATGTATATTGAAGAAACATGCATTTCTTCATATACGTTATCTTAATATATATTTTCTTAAAGAAAACAGATACCAATGAATTCCACAATTGTAGGACTTTGGCATTAATTTCCCATGCAAGCAAAGTGGCGCTCAAAGTGTTGCAACAAA